TACTGTTGGATAGTAAGGTAATTCTGTTTGACAGTAGACCAGTGCAAGTTAATGATACTGTTGGATAGTAAACCAGTACAAGTTAATGATACTGTTGGACAGTAGACCAGTGCAAGTTAATGATTCTGTATAGTAGTAAGGTAATTCTGTTGGACAGTAAACCAGTACAAGTTAATGATACTGTTGGAAGTCAAACAGAATTACCTTACTATCCAACAGTATCATTAACTTGCACTGGTCTACTGTCCAACAGTATCATTAACATGTACTGGTTTACTGTCCAACAGAATTACCTTACTACTATACAGAATCATTAACTTGCACTGGTCTACTGTCAAACAGAATTACCTTACTATCCAACAGTATCATTAACATGTACTGGTTTACTGTCCAACAGAATTACCTTACTACTATACAGAATCATTAACTTGCACTGGTCTTCATTAACTTGCACTGGTCTACTTCCAACAGTATCATTAACTTGTACTGGTTTACTGTCCAACAGAATTACCTTACTACTATACAGAATCATTAACTTGCACTGGTCTACTGTCCAACAGTATCATTAACTTGTACTGGTTTACTATCCAACAGTATCATTAACTTGCACTGGTCTACTGTCAAACAGAATTACCTTACTATCCAACAGTACAGTAAACCAGTACATGTTAATGATACTGTTGGACAGTAGACCAGTGAAGTTAATTATTCTGTTGGATAGTAAGGTAATTCTGTTAGACAGTAGACCAGTACAAATCAGTACATCTGTTGTAAAGTAAAAACAATAGCACTAAACACTACAAGGATAATAGTGTCAACCACTGAACGTAAAAATGGTAACAGAATTGGAGATTCTGTACATTACGAGAACAAAGTAGTTTGTAACTGTTATGTTGTTGATACAAACGTTCAAAAAATTACGTAAATATTTTTGTTAAACACTGAAACAATAGGAACGTCACAGTTGTTGTTAACCCTAAAAGAAGATCGAAACCTGTTTTACTGATCTGGAAATAAAGGTCGATTATTTACAAAATATCTTGTTTGTTTTAGATTTTTCGCGCAAAGCTATAAAAAGAGCTAATATTGAACTGATACTCTGGAAAAAAAGGCATCTCATTTCGTCAGCAGGCAATAACACCAACCGCCAACACTTGTCCGACCGAATATTGGGACTTAAACGTCTCTCTTATTGTACATCCACGGCTCCAAATTGTGGCGACTTTTTACAGGAACGGAAAGGGATTCACAGTCTGAGCACGCTAAAATCAGGCCACGCCCGACCTTTTATACCAGCAACGTTAATAATTGATTTGAAAGTTGTAAGACAACGAAACAATATTTCTGTTGAGTAATACAATAACGGCAAAATAATATTTTTGTTGAGTAAGAAAAAACAACAAAACAATATTTCTGTTGAGTAATACAACAACAAAAACAAAATAATATTTCTGTTGAGTAATACAACAACAAAAACAAAACAATATTTCTGTTGAGTAATACAACAACAAACACAAAACAATATTTCTGTTGAGTAATACAACAACAAAAACAAAACAATATTTCTGTTTAGTAATACAACAACAAAAACAAAACAATATTTCTGTTGAGTAATACAACAACAAACACAAAACAATATTTCTGTTGAGTAATACAACAACAAAAACAAAACAATATTTCTGTTGAGTAATACAACAACAAACACAAAACAATATTTCTGTTGAGTAATACAATAACAAACTCAAAACAATATTTCTACTCAATAAGATAGTAATAGCATTTCTACTGAAACTTCATGTTATTAACCCTAGAATTACCTATAACGCCTATAGACACTTATCGGATCTGATAATTCATTTTTTTCTAAAGTATTTGTACACCAAATGTATTATTAATCCTGATTTGTATATGACACATATATAAAGTATTCATACTTGGTATTATTAACCCTGATTTGTATATGACACATATATATAGTATTCATACTTGGTATTATTAATCCTGATTTGTATATGACACATATATAAAGTATTCATACTTGGTATTATTAATCCTGATTTGTATATGACATATATAAAGTATTTATAAAAGTTACACTTCATCAACTTAATCTATTTCACACCATAACAGTTGCTTGTCATGTAATATTAATAACCGCACGACCACTACTGTGTCTGTTGTATCCTAGCCGGCTTGATGAGCACTGGTATTGAACGAAAGGCCTAGTCAGCCCATAAGTTCTTAGAATAACATATTATAAGCACAGAAATAATTATACAAAAACCCATCAATATTGCAGTTAATTCCACTAATTACTGTTGGCTCTCCTAAGCTCTTTATATAGAAAAATGAGTATTTTCACCCATTATTATCAGCCAGTGTAATAGTGCTCGATCTTTACTGCTACAATGTCCGTAATCATGTTAAGTATCATTACAATAACTTTATCACTGTAATTTTTGGCTCTAGAAATATAAATATTTTAGGAATTACTTGGAATATTTTTATCTGTTTATTTCTAAGCGCAAACTATACAATGGACTATCTATGTTCTTCCCACCGCAGGTATCGAAACCCGATTTTTAATGGTATAAGTCCTTTGACTTACCGCTTAGTCACAAAAGGTACTGGGGTTTGTAAAGTAAAAAATTTATGAACAATTCGTGAACAACAAAAACAGTAAAATAACAATAGGTATGTTGAGAAACATCATTATTATTAAACCAGAGGGCTTAACAAAAGTAGCAACATCATTATTATTAAACCAGAGGGGTTAACAAAAGTAGCAACATCATTATTATTAAACTAGAGGGGTTAGCAAAAGTAGCAACATCATTATTATTAAACCAGAGGGCTCAACAAAAGTAGGAACATCACTATTATATAACCAAGGGGCTCAACAAAAGTAGCAACATCATTATCATTAAACCAGAGGGATTAACAAAAGTAGCAACATCATTATTATTAAACCAGAGGGGTTAGCAAAAGTAGCAACATCATTATTATAAAACTAGAGGGGTTAGACAAAAGTAGCAACATCATTATTATTAAACTAGAGGGGTTAGCAAAAGTAGCAACATCACTATCATTAAACCAGAGGGGTTAACAAAAGTAGCAACATCACTACTATATAACCAGGGGGGCTCAACAAAAGTAGCAACATCATTATTATTATACCAGACAGCTCAACAAAACTACCAACATCACTATTATTAAACCAGAGGGCTCAACAAAAGTAGCAACATCACTATTATATAACCAGGGGGGCTCAACAAAAGTAGCAACATCACTATTATATAACCAGGGGGCTCAACAAAAGTAGCAGCATCATTATTATTAAATCAGGGAGCTCAACAAAACTACCAACATCACTATTATATAACAAGGGGCTCAACAAAAGTAGCAACATCATTATTATTAAATCAGGGAGCTCAACAAAACTACCAACATCACTATTATATAACCAGGGGGGCTCAACAAAAGTAGCAACATCATTATTATTACACTAGTGGGTTCAAGAAATGTAGCAACATTATTATTATATTGATTTCAAAATTTAAAGCAACATCTTAAGTTTTATAATAATGACGATGTTTGTAACCATGATCATGGGAAGTAAGATCTGGGCTTTCAAAGAGTGACTAATGTTTTTAATCTTAATCAAGGGAAGGAAAATAAGGACTTTTTTAAAGTGACCAAAATTGTAATTGTGACAAATCAACTAATTACGTAATTATTATAAAAAACGTTCACACTACTATTCAGGTCTTATTAAAACTACATTAAATAATGTTAATAAAAGAATCTCTCAGTACAGCTCATGCATATTCATCTCGTGCCCCACCTGTTCCTCGACTCTTGGAAGCTGTCGGCAACGCGGAAAATGTTTCTGAAAATAACCCGTTTTAATGTTTCATCTTTAAGACTACGTTTACTTCGTTACGATTATTCATTATCTTGATGAACTTACATCAGGAGACTACAATTTCTTCTGGTTACCAATGCTGAAAATTCCAAACGCTCGATTCTTTAGATTATTAACTTGTTACTCACCTCTTTCTACTAAAACCCAATACGTTAAGACGATTAAAAACCACCTGGAGGATTTCACTGTCATCATCAGGCCGGGCTTGTCGACAAACAATAATAATTACAGTTCAAACAATCCATTCAGCAACAACGGTATTCGCAGAAAACCATTATTTTGTACCAGAACCGTTCTTACTTCACGAAAACGAGTTTTACTTTTCCAACACGACAAGTTCAATCAAATCCTCACGGACACTCTTCCAGAGGCTTGATTACACGCTGGCCCCTTAGTGACTGAATGGTAAACAGCCCCGCGTGCTTCGAACTTCGGTGAAAAACGTGACTGCGTCAACACGCAGGACGTACCATAGTGGCGCCATCTAGTAGTACATATTGGTATCTTAATATATATTCTATTTGTCTTTACACAGGACATGCATGGAAAGTACAATAAACAGCAGCAGATCACAATAAGAGAGTGCAGACACTCAAAAGGATCCAGAAGGATGGAACATCCCTGGTTTTCCTTACATATTCCCTTGAGAATAAATTTATTATTTGTTGTTCTTATCTGAGTATTAATTTATTTTCCATATTACTGTCAACAATCAATACTAGGAACAATATTAATAAGGACATTTTTAAATTCTGAAACTTAACATGAAGCATTTCCTTACGGATATAGTCAGCAGTAACAATACTAGAAAATCAATAGCGATGGTTGAAAGAATACTTCCCTATAGATACAGTCACCAGTAACAATGCTAGAAAATCAATAGCGATGGTTGAAGAATACTTCCCTATAGATACAGTCACCAGTAACAATGCTAGAAAATCAGTAGCGATGGTTGAAGGAATACTTCCCTATAGATACAGTCAGTAGTAACAATACTAGAAAATCAGTAGCGATGGTTGAAGGAATACTTCCCTATAGATACAGTCACCAGTAACAATACTAGAAAATCAGTAGCGATGGTTGAAGGAATACTTCCCTATAGATACAGTCAGCAGTAACAATACTAGAAAATGGGAATTGATGCTTGAAGTAATACTTCTATGGGTATTCCAATTGCTCTGTGACTTTCTTCTTCAGTAACTTACAATCCTCCTCTTCATCAGTGATATACGTACTATCATTTACACTCTACCAACTCCCCAGTCCGTATATTAATTCATTTTCATCACATCTGTAGTCCAGCGCTGTCTCTTGGCGTTAACATGAAAATTAAGGATTGTGGAAAACGAAATGAAAAGAAGGGTAACAACAAATGTACATTTTCGGCACATAAACGCAACGAACAAAAATTACACGAAATGGGGAAGATTACATGAGAATTTGGGGAATGTGGAGATGTGTCTTCTAGTCGGGAAGAGGAAGGGGTGAATTTGTACCCTTTACCACCCTCCCTCCGGTAACATGGTTATTATTGTACAAAAAGTAAATAAAATCTTAAACTATTTCGTGTTAAACAAGAAAATATTTGTTATTTTCATTATTATACACGGTAACATCTTTTATATATTGTGATCCATGGTGTCTGTCCGAGTGTTCGTTTGTCCCCCCGTTTAAAAAGCTGCGCACGCAGGGAAAGCTCAACATTCACTTTCGAAATGACTGGAGAACAAGCATGAATAATGTTGGTGAAAAAATATTTGTGCAAGCAGGATATTCTACACTAAGTTGTTAGGAGTTAATCACACTATCATTCACATTTCAAAATGTGACGTAACTTAAAAACAAAAAAATTATATTTACCATATGTTATTGTTGAGCCGCTCTTAGCTTTGGCCCTGAGTGAAACCAAAAGTACAACACACTTACCTGTTTTAAAGTCGATAAAATAATTTAAATTGATAAATTAACTTAAACTTTTCCCATCACTGGGGACGGGTATTTTACTATATTAACTTAAAGGTTTCCCATCACTGGGGACGAGTACTTTTACTAGATCAACTTAAACTTTTCCCATCACTGGGGACGGTTACTTTTGCTAGATAAACTTAAACTTTCTCCATCACTGGGGACGGGTACTTTTACTAGATTAACTTAAACTTTCCCATCACTGGGGACGGATACTTTTACTAGATTAACTTAAACTTTTCCCGTCACTGGGGATGGGTACTTTTACTAGATTAACTTAAACTTTGCCCACCCCTGGGAACGGGTACTCTTGCATGCATATATATATTATCTAGGATATTATCTATCTCTTTCCACATAGTAATGTTATAATTTTTAGCATTTCTTGAGTTTGCTCTCACCATTTTCAGCATGATGTAGTAAGATTAGTGTGCACATAAAAATTTTTGAACTCTTCCAGAAAATCACATAAAATAGCTTCTGCAAAATGTCTATTCACTTTTGAGTTAACAGGTGTTAAAGTTGTGATTTAAGGAGGTTTTTTATTCCTAATTATATAAATGAATTAATAGGGTGCTGAAAATGTTAGCTTTCTTTAAGGTATCAAACATTCCAGTTTTGTGAATAAAAATTAGTATTTGTATAAATATTACTTTGTTTTGTCTATTCCTTTGACATCGAGATATAACTACAGTAACTTCTTTTAACATCAGGTTAGTGTACTGGACTGTAAACCAGAGTGCCCATGAATCGAGCCCCGTTGTTGCAAAATCACATTCCGCTCTTAAGGCCAGAGGGCGCGCTTGTCAAATGGTGATCAAATCCTCTTATTCGATTAAAGTAGCCTAAGAGTTGGCGGTGGGTGCTGTAACAGTAAACCCTATGTTATTCTAGATACGATTTGATAATTAGGCTCCTATAAACCCCAGTTTTAAAAAAACTTTCCCGAATATAATCAATTTGAATGTAATCAAGACCTCAAATTCGAAGTTATATGTTAAAGATTTTATCTAAGATGGTTTCTGTTACTTTGTATCTTGAACAAATGATAAATCTTTTCGGTGATACGTGTATACATAATTGTTTGTTTTTGAATTTCGCGAAAAGCTACACGAGGGCTATCTGCGCTAGCCGTCCCTAATTTAGTAGTGTAAGACTAGATGGAAGGCAGCCAGTCATCAAAACCCACCGCCAACTCTTGGGCTACTCTTTTACCAACGAATAGTGGGATTAACCGTCACATTATAACGCCCCCACGGCTGAAAGGGCGAACACGTTTGGTGGGGCGGGGATTCGAACCCACGACCCTCAGATTGCGAGTCGAGCGCCTTATCTACCTGGCCATGCCGGGCTCATAAACATAATAGAGTATTTTAATATTATATAAAACTGTACTTCTTAGTTTCCAATATAGAACAAGTTGAAACACAAAAACATGTGACAGCCAGTGGTTTATACTAGAAGTCTGTGTAGGTTAATATTTTATGACAGAACACTGTGACAGTTAATATTCTATGATAAAGACTGTGACAGCCAATACTCTACATTAAAAATCTGTGACAGTTAATATTCTATGATAAAGACTGTGACAGCCAATACTCTACATTAAAAATCTGTGACAGTTAATATTCTATGAAAGAAGACTCTGATAGCTAATACTCTAAGCTACAAGTCTGTGATAGTTAGTATTTTTATAATAGAAGTCTGAGACAGCTGACACTATGTTACAAGTCTGTGATAATTAATTTTTATAACAGAATACTGTGACAGCTAATACTCTACGTTGATATCTGTGTAAGTTAATATTCTATGACAGAACACTGTGACAGTTAATATTCTATGACAAAGACTGTGACAGCCAATACTCTAAGTTAAAAATCTGTGACAGTTAATATTCTATGAAAGAAGACTGTGATAGCTAATACTTTAAGCTATAAGTCTGTAATGGTTAGTATTTTATAATAGAAGATTGTGACAATTAATACTCTATGTTACAAGTCTATGATAGTTGGTATTTTATAATAGATGACTGGGACAACTAATACTCCATGTTACAAGTCTGTAATAGTTGGTATTTTATAATTGCAGATTGTGACAGCTAATACTCTATGCTACAAGTCTGTG